TGGGAGTGAACCTTGAGATCCCCTGAAAATTTGAAGTCTCTAGCACATCTCCTTCTTGTGGAACAGACAGACACACAGACAGACAGACAGACAGACAGACAGACAGACAGACAGACAGACACGAGGTCGTTTGCATAAGCCCGCTGGATAGCTTTTTCAAAGCAGAAGGGCGGGCTAAAAATAATAATTATCATCTAATAAAGAAACGGATATGCGGTAGGGGGTGTTTTGGGGTGAAAAACAAGCGAAAGGTACTTTATGGCAGATCCCATTCGTGAACACAAATGAGTGTTGACATAGGATTGCTGTCAACTCATCTGCGTACGACATATACTCTGCTAATCCAAGTGTAGGACAAGTCGACGGTTACAAACAAAAATTTTATTTTTGAGGGTGCCATCTTCTTCGTCTTTATTCTCTTTAAAACGAGCCTAGGTGTGCTTACTTTTCATAGACTTCTATAAATTCATTTCTTATTGCATACCTGTATGAATGTAAATCGCAACCGCACATGTATTAGGCTAGTTTTAAAGAGAATTTAAAGGCGAAGATGGCACCATGGCACGTTCATGGTCATAAAATTGCAGTTTGAAGGGTAGAACTCATGATTCTCGCAGTTAACTGTCGACTTGTTCTACACTTGGATTAGCAGATGCGTGGTAGCCACTTTCAAATTCACTAGTAAGAATTCGTATGGCTTACACTTCTATTAGCAATGTCTTACCCAGGTATTGTCATCTAAAGGGAAACTTCTAAAAGTCACATTGCCTGTCAGGCGTTGCAACTCTTTTGGTTTATATGGGTTGAAGTGGGTAGCATGCAGATGCCATGTCCAGGGAAGCGAGCCGTTGTCAGGTGGACACATGTAAAAGCGTTCCCCGTATGAAATGTAAGGACCCTAGTCGAACAAAAAAAAAACGTGAAGAAATTTCCTCGCCGTTAGAAAAAACCTCCCAGAGAAAGCGAATTTGTCATAACGACACCACCGGACACCACACTGATAAATTAAGTGTTTAAGTTTGCACGTCAATTGATGTTCAAGTGTGTATTTTCTATTGTGGTGTCTAAGTTATACGTTAATTGGTGTTTAAACTTTCTACACTTCCGAAAAGTATAGCAGCTGCACACCACATGGTTCCTATTGATAGCATAGAACTGTGTGTGTTCAATTGTGCAGAATTTAAACCTTTACAAAACGTCTAAACTAAACACACCACGCAAGTGTACAACTTGAGTCAAACACCATGTACACCGTTAACGCCGTGGTCGCCTAGCATGCCAAAATGTTGGCAGTCCTTTATGACTGCAAAATTTTGGCCTTCGTTTTAGAGGCTATGCCAATTTTTGGTCTCCTTGAATGCCAAATGTTAGCCTTCTTTCAAAGAGGCCAAAAATTGGCAGCCTCTAAAAAGAAGGCCAATATTTGGCATTTAAAGAGGACAACATTTGGTAGCCTCCAAAAGACGGCCAAAATTTGGCAATCAAAAAGGACTGCCAACATTTTGGCATTCTAGGCGATCACGGCGTTAACTGTGTAATGTGTAAAACCATAACTTGCACAGCACACGTTGGTGCACAAATTTTGCACACTTGTGTTACCAGTGCAAGTTACGCCGATGTCCAGATTTGGTCTCATACTTTATGTAATTTTGACAATTTCGTATACTTTGGGGTCGAGTACGGCAAAAGAACAGTGTTGACAACATAATACGTTTTGTAAATTTGCATTGAAAAGAGGTATTTATAACTTACAATCAAAGACTTGATAACTTTGCCGTCGATGCCCTCCCGGCTCAACATGAGCCCTAGGACCAGGACAATGACTAACATGTTGGCTCTCTGGAACTCTAGCAATTGTGCCGCACTAGAAAGAGGCTCGTTTGTATCTGAGTGTGCGGCCGTGGTGAACACCCTTGCGTGGCCGGCTGGTGGCCGGCTGGCGTGCCAGCGACAACAGCAGCAAACTAAAGTCGGTAGCATGATTTTAAACAATGACACAACGAGGTTCCAAAAAAACTTGCAGGCCGGGAGGCAAAGAGAAAGTCCAGATCCGATAGCTATACCGATGGGTATAGGCGCACAAAGAACTTGCAACAAAGTAAAAAATATCCTCGCAAATTTACTATATAGTTTGTGATTAATATTTACCGCATACGTCGGAAGTCTATGACAACCCAATATTGCTCGTCGATGAATTCCAAGCCGATGTATATTGTAATTTTACAATCTTCAACTGGAACTTTACGACACGCTTCATAGAAAAATTTCCCGTAGAACCTGCAACTATTTTTCACTGTGAAGGAACGAGGATACTAACATAATAATAATAATTAAATATGGTTATAATAATACTAGAAATCGGTTTATCAAAACACTGCAAAAGTTAATTGTATCAAAACTAGGACTTCGTTCTTTATCGACACGGGTATCTTTTACCTTCATGTAGAGACAGCCACAATGAGACTGTATCTGTATAGTCTACACTGCAAACAACAACAGTGCTGTTAAAAAGCAAAAGACGGCAAAGTTCAGGAAAAGTACAGGATTTCCGTACATGATCAGGTACAGGACATCCTAACTTATTTACTGTAGCCCCTTTAAGGCTCCATGTTAAAAATTCCTGTACTCCGTACTCAACAACACTGTACTCATGCTAGTACGGAAAGACCAGGCAAGTGAATGACCTATAAGACTGTGCTAAATACTGTGTTTTTTTTTTAAACAGTGAAGGCACGACTTGCAAGCACACACCTACTATTCTTTCTATAGTACACAGAAAGAAGTGCGTGCTTTACCTTCGGTAATAATGTATGCCATAGCAAGTAACTTATACAGTGGTAGCTACCACATTTTCGGTAGTATTCTCGGCAATGTCCGGGATGTCGTCTGGACTGTCCGAACATCGGACTGATTTCGGTACAGCAGGATATTTTTATAAGAGAGGTGTGTTAGGTTTGCAGAGTAATGAAACACTCAAACACAATTGTGTTCATACTGCTGCAAAAAAAATACCGGGGTTATCTCCCCCCCTCAGAAAGTGTCAGATTATGTCAGGTTCATTAGAGAACACGGCAAAAACAATGTCTCGGTTTTTGAGGAAAAAAGGATAACGTTGAGAAACTTCCTTGTTTAGAGGAAAACTCCAATCTCGCCTTAGATTTTGAGGAATCTTCTTAAAAAAGAGGAAAAATCCCACTCTTTTTAAGACTGTCGAAATCTGAGGAGGTCCTGATTTTTAAGAAGATTCCTC